ATAAATAAAACATACACCTGTAGGAAGAACTGAATGCAATATTCCCAGCAGTTTTATTTATAAAACCACAAATTTGGAAATAACCGAAACCAGTGACAGATCAATGGATAAAGTGGTTATCCATAGAATACAATATTACCAATAAAAAAGTAACTATTTATATAAACATTACTTGAAACTAAAAATACCTGTGTAGCAAGAAAGAAGTCATAGTTTGTTAAAAATTATACACCTTATATAGTGCCTATAAAATTATGAAAAATATGAACTAATCTATCATAAGAGGAGGTAAATCAATGGCTGTATGGAGGGTAGAGAATCCAGAAGAGTATAAAAGGGCAAGAGGTAAATACAGGGTGTGTAAAACTAGGTTAGAGTTGTTAGTATTGAAAATAATACAACGGTAAATAAATAATAAAAGTATAAACTCTCATGGCTACTGTGTCTTATATTGTTGGGCATGATCACATTCACTGAAAGGTCATTGGTTTGATTCCAGATCAGGGCACATGCCCGCCTGGATCTGCAGTAGTGGGCATGCAGGAGGCAGGAGATTGATGTTCCTCTCCCTCTGCCCTTCTCTCTAAAAATCAATAAAAATACATTTTAAAATATATAACACTAAAGGCCTGGTTGATGAAATTCATACACTTTTGATATTTCTCTTAAAATTATCGTGTTTTCTTTGACTACAAAATCCACCATTATTACCCAGTACACCTAGTAGGTAAAGCCTTAATTGTGGTTCCAAATAAAAACATAGCTATCCCTCTATTCTTAGAAAATTAAGATGGGAACTCTATATAGACATAACCATCTCTCTCCTTATTTCTTGAGAGAATCATTGTTGCCTCTGTGGCAGCAAATACTGTATAGAAGTGAAGACTACTGCCATCAGAATGATCAGGAATGCTGAATTGTCACAAAACACACAACCTGGGACTAATTATACGATTATCCTTCCTTTAGCTTTGAGTTCCTGACTGTTGTGATAACCTTGAGGTGAACACCATAGAGGGGCCCAGGGAATCCCCAAAACCATGAGATTCTTTTTGCAACCAATCACTTCAGCTACAAAAAGAACAAACAAGCTTCAGGACTTGGTCATTAGTGGATAATGTTCAGAAAAGGCAATTTTCATCCACTATACTGCCATCTCTTCCACTCACTATGAAAACAGTGTCTGTCCCAATATTAGTTGCACTTCACAGTGTTATAACAAATGAAACCAGCCTATGATATTTCACACAACATGGCACAGGGCTCCTGTGCAGTATGTAAGACATACTATGAGTAGAGAATATAACTCATATTGTTCACAGAAGCACAACAAAGGACTCTTCTTCCGGGTGATCATTGACCTCTCAAATAATACAGGCACCAGGCTAAAAAATTAGAACCAAAAAGTCATGCAGATTTTTGTTAAAGGACTTAGTCAGCAATACAAAACAAACCAATATTGGCCAAAGAGTGATTTTTTGCCATTATGTGCCTTCCAAAGTGCATAAAGTTTGGGACCCTACCATATCTGTTCCCCTCTGCGTGTGACAGATCACAACTATCCTTTAAAGTCATCCCAGGCAGTGACTATAACCCCCAAAATTAAAGGTACAAAAGCAAAAAACACCTTTACTAAAAGATCATAAACCAGAACAGAGGATAGAAGGCAGTTTGTAAGTTGGTGAATTAGAACCTAAAACAACACCTCAGAGGATAATGTGAGAACAATGATAGAAGCACAAAAAAGGACTCCTCTTCTGGGGGACCACTGACCTCACCAACATTAGAGGCATCAGGCTGCAAATTGCAACCACAAAGTCATGAAGACTTTCTTTCATTGCCTTGGTCAGTGGTATAAAATAAGCCATTATTGGACAAAGAGTGATTTTTCTGACATTATTATAGCTTTCCAAAGCACAGAAAGTTTGTGGGACCCCACCATATCTGTGCATCTCGCCATGATGATAGATCACAACTTTTGTATCAAATCATCCAGACAGTGAGATTTAAAAAAATAATAAATAAAGCCTCGAAAGAAAAAACATCTTTACTAAAGATCATAAATCAGAACAGAGGGCAGTAAGCAATTTGCAGGTTGGTGAATTAGAAAGTAAAACAATTCATAAAAGCATGTGAGACCTGCAATGTCCCTGAAAGTGGCAGCACTCCTTAACTGAGGATGGGTGGTCTGGACAAACCCTGGGTCAGAAGCATTCCCTAGTCAGAAAGGAAGGAAGATCCTGTCAAGAGCTTGAAGTAATCATAATGTTCTCAAGCACAAGTGAGAACAGAGAATATATTTCCCCTGAGCACACAGGGGTTGTGACTGATGCACACTCTTCAGTTGAGCCAGAGGTGAAATCTCTTCAGCCACAAATGCTCACTGTGACATCAATCAGTTAGCAGGTCTGGGCATGTTAGCAAGTACAATGCAGCTCCTTCAAGCCTCACTTGTGCCTGAAACTTATGAGGAATATATCAGAGTGAATGTTCCATTAAATGGGGTGTATATTCAGAAAAATAGGTCCCAAAGAGTCGCCTTCAGTGTTGTTATACTAAGTGAGAAAAAGAAAACATTCCCTGCACATTTAATACTTTACTTCAGTGTGAACATTCAGGTGTTTAATACGGCTAGATTTGCGGCTAAAAGACTTCCCACATTCAGTACACTCATATGGCTTTTCTCCAGTGTGAACTCTGAGGTGTCCAGTGAGAGAAGACCTTACACGAAACGACATCCCACATTCTCTACACTTATAGGGCTTTTCTCCAGTGTGAATTCTCTGGTGTTGTTTGAGGGTAGAATTATCACTGAAGGACTTTCCACAATCACAGCACTCATATGGCTTTTCGCCACTGTGAACTCTGAAGTGTCTATTAAATTTATATTTTTCGCTAAAAAACTTTCCACATTCATTACACTCATATGGCTTCTCTCCAGTGTGAACTCTGAGGTGTTTAGTGAGGTGAGCCCTTAGAGGAAAGGACAGCCCACATTCTCTGCATTCATAGGGCTTTTCTCCTGTGTGAATTCTCTGGTGATGTTTGAGGTAAGACTTATCACTAAAGGATTTTCCACAATCACGGCACTCACATTGCTTTTCGCCACTGTGAACTCTCAGGTGCTTAATAAGGCTGGAGTTTTGGCTAAAAGACTTCCCACATTCAGCACACTCATATGGCTTCTCTCCTGTGTGAACTCTCTGGTGTTCTTTGAGGTAAGATTTATCACTGAAGGATTTTCCACAATCACAGCACTCATATGGCTTGTTGCCGCTGTGAACTCTCAGGTGCTTAGTAAGGTTGTATTTTTGGCAAAAAGACTTCCCACATTCAGTACACTCATATGGCTTCTCTCCAGTGTGAACTCTGAGGTGTCCAGTGAGGTGAGACCGTACACGAAATGACACCCCACATTCTCCACACTTATAGGGCCTTTCTCCAGAGTGAACTCTCTGGTGTTGTTTGAGGACAGCCTTATCACTGAAGGACTTTCCACAACCACAGCACTCATATGGCTTCTCGCCACTGTGAACTCTGAAGTGTCTATTCAGTATATATTTTTCGGTAAAAGACTTTCCACATTCAGTACACTCATATGGCTTCTCTCCAGTGTGAACTCTGAGGTGTTTAGTGAGGTGAGCCCTTAGAGGAAAGGACAGCCCACATTCTCTACAC